CGATTCTGACCCATAGAGACCCTGTATAGGGTTTCCGAGGAGCAGCTGGTGAGCTTGAACTGCCGACCTTGCAGTTCAAATGGCTTTGCAGTCTGGCGCATTAAACCACAGTGCCACACCAGGACTCTTTGTAGATGTTATCAATGAAAAAAGTCCTACTGGTGTACTGTGGTTCCTAATCCTAATCCTTTGCTTATTTGGCAGCTGGAGGAAGTGGCTGGCCTTTATAAAAGAGGATAGATGAAGAAACAGTCACACACGTGGGGAAGATATGAGGACCCAAGGAATACCAAGGATCGCTAGCAGCCAGCAGAAACTAGGAGAAAGGCATGGGATAGTTCCTTTCTCAAAGCTTCTAGAAAGAAAGAGGCAGAGACCCTAGTTTGAACTTTAAGCCTCCAGAATGGTGAGAACATACATTTCTGTTCATACAAGCCATTTACTTGGTGCTTTTTTTTTTTATGTATCCCTAGGAGACATAAGACAATTAGCAAACAATAGCGGGGTCTGAATGCTACCAAACACTGCCACCAAGGCTCAAGGATGCATGGTCTTCTTAAAATAAGCTGTAAACTTCAAGGGACTCCAGCGAGCAGGGGATGTTGTGGTGGGTATAAAAGTATGTATTGCTCCCCTATTCTTTGCTCAGGAGGTTCACATGGGGCTGCCCCATCCAGGATAATAGGGATAGCCATGTGATCTAGCTTGGCCAATAAGAGCTTTCCTGAAAACTTCTGCTGGCACTACTGGGAAAGAGATGCTTTCTCCTGTGATGATTAGCACCAGCCAAGGACTCCACAAGCCTGAAATGCTGGAGGTCATCTTTGTCACCACATGGAGAAAGAAAGGCTTCCTGAGAAAGAAAGAAAGAAATGAAGAGGAAAGCAGAACCATGAGATGAACCAGGCCTGAAGTGCTAAGTAATGTGGGCCAATAAATGCTCTCCTTTTTAAAATGGGTTTGCCTGTGTTTCTATCACTTGGGACGACAGGAATTCTGATTAATACAGCAGCCGGATACCTCTCAATCTGCCGAGTAGCCAATTTAGGGTGTTCCTCTGAGTGCCTCCTTCTTTGATATCATCTCATTCAGGAGTTGGTGTCCCCCTCTTCGCCCCAGTCCAAACTTGTCTGCAGGAAAGGATCTGACAGCTGTCATCTAAACCGAAGGAGAACTGACACCATGTGCTCCCGGTCCAGGACCAGATACTTAAAGCCTCTGCTTATTTTGATGGAAGGGGAGGAGGCTCTGACCGTCCGCTGGGTCATTGTCTCAGTTAATCCTAGAAGGGTCTTTCTTTTTCTTGATTAATGAAAATTTTAAAATTCTATTTTCTTGTATCAGTTTGTTGTCTATTTTAGTGAATAGAGAATAGAACGTACATCTTTGATTTGCTGTTATTGCTGTGAACTCGCAGAACTGAGTAGAACTGCTCTGTAGGGTTTTCCAGGCTGTAAATCTTTACAGAAGCAGATGGCCACGTCTTTCTCCTGAGGAGTGGCTGGTGGGCTCGAACCACGGATCTTCTGATTAACTACTGCACCACCATGACCCTGATAATGTGAGAAGTTTGGGTCACTTTGACTCCATTTATCACCTCTCACTTTTGAGTCGGTGGCCCTGCAGGATAAACACTGGATTGTGAACCACAAGGTATGTATGTACTTTGAGCTCTCTGCATGAGAAAGATGAAGGTTTCTGCTCCTGCAAAGATTTACAGACTTGGAAACCCTATGTAGGGTCACTATGAGTTGGAACCGACTTCACATTACTTTACAACAACTGCTTTTGAGTCGGAGGGTCCTCAGTGGTGCAATAGTTAAATTCTCAGCTGCTATGAGGTTGGCAGTTTGAGCCTAAAAGTTGCTCCTCAGACAAAGATAATGACAGACTTGGAAACCCTATGGGGCAGTTTTACTCCTGTAGTGTAGTGGTTACAAATTGGGCTGTTAATCTCACGGTCAGCAGTTCGAAACTACCAGCTGGTCCCTGGGAGAAAAATGAGGCTTTCTGCTCCCATAATGATTTACAGGCTCAGAAACTCTGTACAAGGTCACTATGAGTCAGAACCGACTCCATAGCACATAACAACAACATAAGGTAGTGATGAGTCAGAATTGACTTATTGGTGGTGGCTTTGGGTTTGGTTTTAAGTTATAGTTGGGATACATTTTATGTAAAATGGGGGTCTATTCTTGAAACCACCCATGGAAATGACTGCCTTGTGACATGTGATTTTGCTGGCCACCCAAGCTCCCCTGCTTCTCATTAACCTGGGGACTTGGGTTGAGACAACTTTCTGACTCAGTACCTGTTGGTCTGTTATTGGTCTGCTTGGTTTGTGTTTGACTGCTTGCTTGCTTTCTGTTTTTAAACAATTTGGAGCTTCCCAGTGCTGATTTGCAGAATTCCACGACTCTGATGCAGGCTTCGTGTTCATGTCGCCTGCTCTGTGCTTTGGGGGTAATCCTTTCGCCTGAATAACTGGTGGCTGGCTGTGGCCAAGCCTAAGGCGGAGCTGACCCCATGTGGATGGAGGGGAGCCAAGTAGTGCCCTGTCACACACAAACCTCCAAAGCCCCTCCAGAATGGCGACAGAAACAAAGACTGGAGAGGGGGCAAAGTTAATTTATTTGGATTATTGTAAACAAAAAACAGAATAT